TAGTAAATCAGTCTCAAAACAAGATCAAAAAGACTTTTTGGCTGGATATATGATTTTAAAACTTGATTTGGTGGACATTTTTTGCAGTGAGAATTCAGAGACTTTTTTTTTCTAAAACTGCAGAACATATTAAATTACTTAAAGATCCAAATACGGTCTTACCATCTAAATCCTCAGGCCTGGTGAGGTCAATAACTCTGTGGCCGAGCTTTCCTTCCTCTCCCAGTTTGCTGAGCTGGTGCCCAATGTTGTCAAAATGCATCCTCTCCTAAAGAAACACAAAAGGCAAGCAGTCAAGTAAACTAACAAGTTCAAATGATCACAGTGAAAGAAAATCGTGAAAATAACTCCATCAGGAACCTGAATATTGGAGATGAAAAAAGAAAAAAGTGCATTTGATAAATGCAGGTTGTTTTGAAGAGCAGCTCTTTTGACAGGAGCCACAGAGCAGCTCTTCATTCACTCATTCAGCAGCAGATGACAGGAGGTAGAGAGACAGTGAGGGCCAGCGGAGCTGGAAATAGACTTACAGAAGGATACTTTGTGATCCCAAAGCACACAATGAGGCCGTGGCCCTCTTTGCTGCGCTCAGATTTTTTCCTCTGTAGTCGTCTCCCTCAACCTCCTTTCCAGTCTGCAGCAGCCCCGTGCTCGGCGCRCATCATTTATTCAGAGTCCGTGGTTGTTTTTTTTTTTGGAGAACACACCGCGTTTTTACCGTTTGTCATGTTGCCTTGTGCTCAGATTAAACTTGGCATCATGTTGTACTCAAGTACAATGAAACCCTGTCATTCAGCACTCCGTGACAATATTAAATGTCATGTCCATGAGCATTTACAGAATAAAATAACAGCTTTCGGAAGGAAGGGGAGGGAGGACTCTGAATAGTTGCTGCACATTACACTTAATGTATTATGCAAAGGGAGAGAGTGCCGACTGCTGCTGGCTCCATTGTTGAATGACCTACTTCCTCAGTGAATACACAGAGCATTAGCAGAGGGCTGTCCTCTTCTCTAAAGACTCAACAAGGAGATGGACACTTTGACTCTGCATGATACAAATAATCTTGTTCCCCCTCAACAACAACAACAACAACAACAACAGCAAAAGGTTTTGCCTGGATGAGACTAAAAGCAGGCATGTTGCCATCATTCAGAAAAAAAGCATTTGTTTTATTCCCAGGTGCACATGTTCAATCTCTGCCAAAGGAATACTGTCTGACCTGACCTCTGTTTTTTTTTCTTTATAATCAAGTCCATCAAATACAGTATGAAGAGACAGCAGCTGCCCAGCTGCCCACACTGACACTAACAGATACATTTATATGCTCTTGTGATTGATTCTTAGATTTTTACCCCAAAAATAAGCTTTAAGAAGCAATGAAGAAATGACCAAGTCTTGTTGCAAAAATATATTTTCTTGCTTYTGCATTTGTGCTTTCTCCTAATGAATAAAATCACACTGACAACAGAAGCCAAAAGAATTTGCAAGGCATTTCAGAAATAATAATAATAATAAAAATAATAATAATAATAAATCTCTATACATAAAAATATTTTTGCTGTGGATTCAAAAGAAAAAAAATGTATGACAAGATGTAGAATAAACATAGTTAAAGTACATTTAAGGCCTTTCACGGCATTTTGATTTTCTTCTGTGGTTTTATTTATTCAAGAACTCGTTCTCGAAAGAAAAGAAATGCACGAAAGGCAGATAAAGCACTGCAATTTGCCATCATACTTGAAGGAGCACTCATTATTTATGACCAGCTGAGTGATTTGATATACAATTAACCACTACCTGCTTATGGCCTGTGATTAGAGGCTGTCTATCTGACGGCCCCTTTGCTTACTTAAGTGTTTTCTAATTATGACATATGCGGTGGTGCCCGCTGGGCAAGAGGACACTTTGTAAAGAGAAGATGGAGTACGGTGCCTTTCACGGTGTCACGTTCTGTGTGAAGCAACACATGCGCGCAATATCCATCAGCCATCCACATTATTGCTCTTAATGAAAGAAGCCAGCAGCCTGATGACAAAGTGACTGAAGTGCGATTAGCTGGATGGTGCTGCTCCGGATGAAGCAGACAGTCCAGTAGGAAGACACAGTGTTCATTGGTGCTGTGTGTCTGTAATAAAGTAGTCATCTCATCGCTCTTCTGTGCTTCGTTGGCCCCTCTTGATCAATCAAGTCCTTTTATAAACTCATGATCATTAAGCATCATGTTGGGCTGGGGAGAAGAGAGAACTGGGGCCATCCATCAATGCTTTTCATTAATAACTACTGCAATGTTGAACTTCTTCCTCCACTGCACTAAGTCATATGATCAGTGGAGATCAGCGCATTAGACAACTTGGAAGAACACTGAATGAAACTCTTGTTAAAGGGGTCCTATAGAAGTTCCTTTATTTTATCTCATAAAAAATAGGAAAACTGCATTTCTTTGCAGGAATGTTGTGTTTATAGGAATTGTTGAGTTAAATAAATGTGAAATCCAGAATAAAAAAGGAAGCCAGCCTAATTGYTGATAAACTTCCTGAGATATTTGAAGCATTTAAAGTTTGCAAATTATCAGAAAAATAAAGAACAGCAAATGAGCTTCATGCAAAAGTGGAAGAGCTGGAAGGACAATGTTCAGATGAGTTCAAATTAAAAATATCCTGATTTATTTCTTCGAAACTTCACTGGAGCCAGCACTTTGCATGTCACAATAAAACAATCTAATTACCGCTCAGCATTGCTCATACGTTATGCAAATTATTATGACTCTATTTGTCCAATACGATGCCACAAATTTTCATAAAATTTTATATACTGAGCTTAATTTACTTATTGGTTATAAGTTTGGTAATTTATATCCGTGAGTTAGAAATATAGCTGGAATTAGAGCCATGAGTTATCTGCACATCGCTGTTTTTTTATTTTTTTTAGGGCTGGAAAATATTCAGTGAACTAATGCTTCTTTACTGCCCACGCATCAAGTGCTGTGATAAATTAATGGCAGTTTTATTATTTTATAGTGTCATTAAATTTTTACTGATCACTCTGACACAGAGGAGTAGCAAAAGGACAAGCAGTATCTGGGGAAGGTAGCTATTCTGCCACAAAAGAGGCAGAGGGGCTGGAAAAAATGTGAAGCCATCAGCATGTGGCTGATATAAATTGTATTTATAATGCACAGTTCATCGTGATAACATAATGGAAAGTATTACTGCTAAGTGCTGAAAAAAACACATGAAACAACAGTTACTTAACAGAAGTGATTTAAAAAAGGCTGGTTTAAAAGAAAAGTTCATGATCAAAAATCAGAAAACAAAACTGCAGCAGTGCACATTATTCTCCTCCTTTTTAACCATAACTGCCAGCGAGCCATCAGTCTCCCTGCTGAATGATTCTCCATGCCACAAGTAAAATTACAGCCGTGCGCTCTGAGCTGGAGTGGAGGACTGCCACCCACAATAATCTGAACTGCCTTTCCTGTGCGGGCTTTTGTCTTTAAAGTTCAGAAACAGATGTAGTAGTTGTTTGGCTGCACATGACCTCGGTTGCAAAGTCACGAGCCGAGCGTGGCTATGAGTCACAGAGGAAAAGAAAGAAATAGCAAAAAGATAGATAGCAAAATCTATGGAACTTCTTGGGCGAGGGAACCCAGATGGACCCTTGTCAGTGCTGTAATAAAAGCTTTAATCTGGCTAGCCACAGAATATGTGCTTGAGGTTTTCTCCTCTGCCCACAGGGCGTATTCTGGGTGGAGGCGGGTGGCTGACGGCCCTGTGTATTGTGCCTGCTTCTGCTCTGCATTTCTGCAACACACTATCTGTCCTGGTACTTTTTTTCTTTCTTTTTTTTCTCCAGTTTGTAAATAACCCGAGGCTATCGGATAGCAATAAACCTGAGACTGATCAAAAACAGCTGAAAGATAGCTATGGTGAGGAGTAAGGTAGATGTAGTAAATAATCACCTTAATTAGTTTTTCTAAACTTGTTTCAATGCACACGTTTTAATCTAACATAAATTAAATGAATTGCAATAATTCATCACATTGGAAAAATTCAAAATTTTAACTAATAAAAATTTAACCGATCATTAGAAAAACTCAACTAAAGTGGAAAAGTGGTTAAAAAGTTAAAACAGATTACAATGTCTCTGTCACATGTTTTTCTATATATATATATG